TAAATGGGGGAAACCTCCAAAAAAATTACAAATTTAAAAATCGCTAATTTTCGAAATTTTTTCAATTATTTTTACTAAATACTGCCGTAACTTTTTCAAAAATGAACATATCAATATATTTTTTTTTTATATAGATGCATGATATCATTACCTTTCATTTGGTATATTTTTTTGTTATATCTGATCCTTTAACTGTCCACAGGGGGGGATTTAAAATGACAACTTTTTTAAAAAAAATTAACTTTTTCAACTTAACTTTTGAAAATGTTCCGGAAGGTCTGACACTTTTATATATATCTTAAATTAAAGCTAATGTAATGTACTTTAATTTGAAAAAAAAAAATTTGACCTCTGGACTTGTCTTCACGGCGAAAATGGCTACCGAATGCTATTTTCGTGTGAAAATTCTCGATTTTATTATTTATATTATATTTAACTTTATAATGCTATAACTTATTGAAAATTTTATGGATCCACACAATTTTTTTATGAGAAATAATATTTTTTAATAAACCCTTTTTCATTCGACATACTTTATCTTAATCGAGATATTAGTAAGGAACCAGCAGATCAAGTAGCTTTTGGAATAAAGGACCAATTTTTTTAAAATTAAACACTATCTAAAGATTTGCATCGAAGCGTTTATTTTTGATAGTGATTTTAATCACTGTCAGGTATCATTATACTTGATCCAACTATGCCACGTCACCACTGTGCTGCGACCCCCCTGTGCTGGGGTTTTTTTTTTGTAAATTTTTACGATTTAAAAAATAAAGTTGATACCCCTATAACATATTACTTTAAGTAATTTAGTCTGGTACTCCAGGTTAGGGGTTTACCGCACAGTTTCTGCCTAGTAAAATTCGATTATTTTGGAACTAGTAAACATGTTTTAGATACGTAAAGTTGAAGATAATAAAACTAGAAATTGGAAAAATAGCCTATTTTTTGAAACATGTAACATACGCACTATTTTTAAACCTGAAATGGCTTGAAACATTGTTAAAGAAATACAAGCTAAAAATAGTGACACTAAAAGTTACTAAAACGTTAGACATTCAAAATTCAATAATATTTCACGGAAGATGTAACGAACAACGTTAGTTTGATATTAATTTTGTGGTCTAAAAATCTTAATACTAAATATAAGATAATTATATATGACATCAGCAATAATATTAAAAATGTAGGTTTACACGGGTTAAGCTAAATTACATACCGATATTCCATTTCATATAATATATAGCACATTCCTTGAATTTCTCACGGCAAAATTAAAAAAGTTTTTTTTTTTATTATAGAACACTAATGTCATAGCTAACTTGTTTAATCTTATTATATAATAGAACAAGGAAAAAAACGCTTTTCTGGAAAAAATAATTAGCGTGCTCGGATTTTCAAAATTTTTTTTTTCAAAGAAAGTACTCGGTCACCAGACTCCGGGAAAATTATTGGCCAAGGTCGTAAAATTTTTGCCGCTCACCCGCGAGCGTTATAAAATTTCGACCGTTTTCGAGAAAAACGCTCGCTAACGCCAGTGTTTTACGACTTAAGGTTTGAAATTTTCATCAGACCCGTCCAATGACATTCCTGAGATATCAATTCAATCCGTTCATTTTTCACCGTTTACGAGCTTTTTTTTTTTTTAAGTCCACGCGCATTGTTTTAATATGCGCATTGAGTCATTTCTGCTCACACGTTTATTCTGAACCTTAATTATATGGTGTAATATGTATTTTTATTAAGACACTATTTTGTACTTGCACATAGCACTATATTTTATATATATTTTTTATTGAGGAATATTATATGTTATATATAAATTTCAAGACAGTTACAATTATATAAGTTTGTACTTTCATTATCGGAATAATACATTATTAATAATCTTTTTTTTCTCATATATGATCTATGAGTTTATTGTTTAAATTGGAAATCATCTATGACAACTATGCTGTCCAACGTTAAATCGCAGTTACCAATATTTTTATCAGAATTAAATTTTTTACATAGTCCCACGTATAATAACCTGCTGAATTTTTTTGTAATTATTCTCAATTATTATAATTAGAATATTAATAATTTTTATATATACTCGGGGTGTATTTAAGGGAGATATGGGCCCTATGAACCAGAGTTATCAATATTTTTTTAGACAACTTCTAATAAATAAGGACCTAATGTCCTTTTTTCATCATTACTTTGATTTTTAGCAAAAAAAATTCTATAACATGTTTAACAATGTAAAAAATATTAAATATCCTCCTAAAATAATTTTTGAATAGGCCTAAAAGGGAATACCTCATTAACAAACGTCAACCTTATACCCAATACATTTTACTATATTCTCTTTTTGAATTTTCCTGATTTTAATAATAACATTTTTAATATATTTTTGTTACACTGATTCTGATGTAATATTTTTTTTACAAAATACTTATCGTGCCCAGCGTAGCCGGGTAACCCTGCCGGAATCGGTGGCCTACTTATGATGACAGCCCGAAGAGGCTTACGCACCGAAGGCGCATAAGGCTCGTAAGGCCCCGGGTCTGGAGCGGAGCCTAGTAACTATATAATAAATAAAATAATTGAATAATACCAGTTCAATATTCTAAAAATTAAATTTAATTATTGATTGACAGAAAAATCAATAATACTTTAGCCATAAAATTCTCTGATGAATTCATAAAGGTGAAAACAAGTAGTAACTGTACATAACTATAAATGTATAAAATACAATTCATAAATCTAATGAGTTTTCAATAAACATCCTTAATATCATAAAAAACATCAATGTGTTGTATTAAATAAATATTTCCTTAATGTAACGAGATCTAACACAAGTTAAGTGTTGTATTTACTGACTAGATGGCGCTAATAATACCTGTCAAAAAGATAACCTCAATAATTAAAAAAAAAATACAACCATATAAGCGAGATATGTATTGTTTATAACTTAAAAAATTTTTAAAATGATTTTCTTTTTTTTTTAATTAAAATAAGTACAAATATATTTTTCCATTTTTAATAATTATTCAAGTAATTAATAATAAATAATAAGCATTTAATTTAGAAAATCATCATTTAATTATAATTTTCACTTTGCACTAGGATAGATCAATATGTTTTTGGTTGTAATGATGGTTGCATTATTTCAGAAATATGTAAATACAATTTTTTGAGTTACACTTTTTTTTTTATTTATTAGTTTCAAATTTACATTTTAAATATGTTTTTAATTTTAAATGTTTATTTAAAAAAAATAACATGATAAAACTTTTATAACAAGTTATCTTTTTGGTATTTAAACGCCTATTTAATAGTTTATTTGTAGAAAACGTAAACTTTACTAATTTATAAAAATTTCATGATTGGCTTGATAAAAATAAAAAATAACAACGTACTAAATAAAACCATTCAAATGATTAGATTAATGTTTTATTAAAATATTAAGCTATTTAAATTTATAAAAGTTCAAGTAAATTAATAAGTAGGGAATGAGCGAAAAAGATAAAAATGTAATGAGAGCAATGCGTCATAAAATTCAAAATCCTGGTGAAGTTACTAAAAATGTTGTAAATCCAAAAAAAGCAAAAATAAACAATAAAATATTATCAATTAGCGGTTCACAAAATGTATCTAAAATAACACAAGATAGTACGTCGGTCAAGAAAAAAAAAACCTCGTTAACCAAAGAAGGTACTTTGTCTACTGCCAATTATAATAAAATTAAACAAAACATCATTCTTAAGACAAAAATTGATAAAAAAATCAAAAAAAAATCTAAACCAAAAGCAATTTTGCAAACATCGATAGAAGATAAATGTGTAGATCTATCAAAAACTAAAGAAAAAACAAAGGCTATCAGCAATGGGTAAATTCAATTATTACTCATAATAACTTAGTATTAAAATTTCTATTATTTTTTAGCTTAAAAAAAAAAAAAAAAATTTTAAATAAGAAGCCTAAATTAGAAGAAAGTATCAAAAAAGTAAGCGATAACATAGAAAGATAGAAGAAAAACATCTTACCTAATAATTATTTGATAATAAATGTTTTTAAAATAATAATTGCTGTGTTCATTGTTTTTCACTTTAGTTATTACCATCTTTTCAAAATTTAAAAAAGCGTGGAATAAATGATAGATATAGGAGAAAATACAATTCTCCTAATTAACTTTTTTTTTTGAATATTATATGGTTTAGTCTTTTCAAATATCACAAATGTCCTAGAGATTTATATCTCTTATGTTACGTAATCAAACTACTCAGGTATCATAAAACTTATATACTGTATATTAATATATTAGTCTGCCGATATGTCTTTATAGGAGTCGGCAATAGAGGCCTGTGGACCAAATCCGTCTACAGGAGGATAAAAAATTTACCCATCAATGATGTTTTTATTTTTGTCTCTTTACATATTATTAGTAATATAAGTTAATTAGCCCACATATTCTAAATAGACAATTTAAATTATTCATTTCTATTGTTTTTAAAATATTTATTATCAAATTAAGTACGAATTAATATTATGTTTTATTTACAAAATAATTTTTCTTTGTAATTAATTAATTTTTTAACTTTATTTTTTGAGTTACTTTCTGTCTATAATATTCCAAATTTTTTGTTAATATGTTTCTATACAAATCGTTTCTAAAAAAAATTATTTTTAGTTTCACCTGAATTTAACAATGGATTTTTATAATTATAATCAAATTTTATAAAACGCTTAATTGTGTAGATTTTTTTAACAACGTTTTGATCGGATTATTTAGTTAAAGTAAATCATTAAATTTCATATAGTTCTGGATATTTCAATTGTAGAATCTATTTAAACACCGTAAGTTACTTAGAAGTAATTACTATAATGCAAAATAAATATTGAGCTTTTTTGATAAATTTATTGTAAATAGTAATTATTATTATATACTGTAAATTTCCTGACTGCATATTAATCTTTACAATACAATTTGTTTTATTCTTATAAAATTTTCCGTTTAATAATGTCCAGCATTTCAAACTTGCAATTGCTCTAAACGTTATGGTAAAATATTCATTTTTTTTTTTTTTTGTACAAATTTTCACAAAAATCAACACTAAAGGACCAAAAAAATAGATTAAACATGACATTTTGTGCTGATTATTTTTAATATATTAAAAATCAAAATCAGTAATCATTTGAAAACAAATGTTTGTTTTGTTTTAATTATTTTTTATTTGTAAATACATATTTTTTACTAATTAGTAATAATATCAAAAATTAGAAGTGATAGAATAAGTCTTTTTGAAGATTTTAAAACGCGCGAAAAGTGGATTTTGAAAAATGTATTTTTGATTCTGATGAAAGTCCCTTGTAGTCCAATGTATTTATTTATAAGTAACAACAATTTTTGTTTGAAAAGTATTGCATCAAGCCCTTTAAATTTTTTTACACGTTAAAAGCAACGAAATATACAACTACTTTATTATTTTGTATAGATTCTCCATAAAAATTACAATAGTAAATTATTAAATATTAATTTTATACTATATTTAATTGCTACACAAAATATTATTCATAAATTAAACTTTTAAATCTAAGAATTACCAATCAGGATATATAATTTAGAAAATAGGTTTTGATGTTATTTTTCTTATTATGCAATGTAATCCACCAATTTCTTAAAATTAAACACTTTCTACAGATTTGCATCGAAGCGTCTTTTACGATAATAATTTTAATCACTGTTTATCATCTATTTTCATTTTGTTTTAATATACACAACTTCAATTTTTTTTAATTTCTTACAAATAACCTAAGCAAATTACATTGGCATAATTGTTTACAATATTGACTTGAAATATAACATAAATAAAACTTTTCTTATATATGTTGTACTTCAGAGTTATTCTCTGATGGTTTATTTGACTACGATATTACATGTGATATCATCATCGTAGGTATTCCCAACGTGTTTCTAAAAATCGAAAATATTGTTTTTTGACATGTTTAATATAAGCGCTGAAAAAGTAATAACAAACTGCCGAAAAGTTTTGATAGGTTGAGGGCAGTGTCCGATACAACTTTTGTATCCAACAAATGTAATAACATTTTGTTGTTCTTATACTCAGGCGATCTATTTTTTAGAGAATTTTTGTTTTGTTAAAGTTTCACACATGTTCTTAAATAAAATTTTTAATTGATTAAATAAAATTTAATGTATTACTTGAGTACTGGACAGCTAAACCACCGCTTGAATAATGAATGTTGACTCTAAATACTAAGTTAATATATGAGACCGGTGATCGAACCAGTGGCAATACAACAACTATCAACTCGTTCACACCATCCATGCATTAAAACCTATACTATTAAAATTAATTTTTACTATGTTTAAAATTTATTCATTAACCCAAAATTTTTATTTTTAAAAATATTAAAATTTTTCTTTCAAATAAAAATTATAGTTTCTTAAAAAAAATTAACCTAAGATTGTAGTGTTGTTTTTTTAATTATCTTACTAAAAAGTTAATTTAGCGACACATAGTTTTGAATAATTTAATTAAATAATTTAATAATAAATAATCTTAAGTAATTTAAGAATTACAGTGATATATTTATTCAAGAACAGGACTAAAATGCTGGGTTATAACAAGTACAACGAAATTTTTATTATTATTAATATTTATTTATTTTTATTATTATTAAATATTTGTATACTAAATAAAAGAATTTTTTTAAGCATGAGTATAAATATAAAATATGTTAAATATTTATTTGCTTTTTATTATAATTAAAAGTACAATAGCTTTGTACTTTAAAACTTTACTTTAAAAATCTTGTCTTAAGTACATCGATGGTATGTATTTTGTATAAGTTATGAAATATTTTAGTTCAAATTTCTTCTATGGAGTTAATTTATCTTTCATCTATTGACTAATAATTTCAATTATAATATTATAATTTTGAGGATCAACTTTTTTATGAATTTGAATTTGTGAGTCAAAATTTGACTGGCCATGGGTAATTGTCACTTGAAAATACAAATATATTTGTTCAACCGTATAAAAGCTCAAGTTGAAGAGTGAAAACCCTAAAGTTTTAACATCGGCTTTACCTCTTGTTGTTCTATTATAAATCGAGTGTTCGTTCAAAGTAATAACAACTATATTATACTACGTATTTTATTTAAGTATGAAAAAGTTTTGAAAATCGAATTTCCGACAAAATGTCTTTTGTTTTAAAATATCTCATTTGGCTAATTAACTTGGTAAAAAATTCTTTAAGTTAAGTTTTTTAAGTCTATTAATCCACAAGTTCTACTGCAACACATATATTTTATAAATTAAATTACTTATTATAATAAATCTTATTTTGTTAATTTTTTTCTGAATATTTTGAAAGAATTAACCAAAGTGAATTTTGTGACATTTAAAAAATAATATTTAATACCCATGGTTTAGTAATGTCATGCAAATTATAAAAAAAAAAGAGCTCCTTATTATCATCTTACTGGCAAAACAACCTACAACACATGTCAAGTATAAATACCGGTTTACAGTAAATAAACAATGTGTTAGAGAACGGTCAAGAGATATATTTTTAAGTAGGTTGTATTTTTATACAATTGTACATAACAATGCACATGGAAGGATTATAAAACTGTACTTATTAATTATTTAATAAGAATAGAACCAATTAAGTTGTTTAATACAGATAATTATTTTTGGTATTTAATAAAATAGCAATATTTGTTTATGTTTAAGTATGCTATTCTAGTATAAATCATCTGTCTATCTAGTATCATCTGCATTCAAAAAAAAAAAATGAACAGACAGCATTTTTAATCAGAATTTAAATTAGATAGCATTATAGTAAAAATATGAATGATTTTATTTTGTTGTCTTTAATCAAGCCCTTTATTTAATTATAGTGTCTCGAAATACACATTATACCCCCCCCCACGTTGACGTTATTGCGTTGATAATCATTTTGTAAGAGCAAAGAGGGTTTATTAATTAATTATAACCCAGACAAAGTTCTTTGAAATTAATAAATAAATTGTCGAGTTCGGTCATGTGTTTTATACACGCAGAAAATAATGGTAAATTTTAATTTGAACTGTCTTTGACCTCTAAGATATTTTTTATACATATAAATAACAAATATTTATTTTTAAGAATGAAAATTATGAACTCTGTAATGAGTTCAAAATATTAGCATAAAAATGAAGACATAGATATATACTTAGCCAACTCCAAGTAAGGATTAAGGCGAAGTAAAAAGAAAAAGTTATACCCGTAAATGTTTTAAATAATATTACAGCCTATGAAAGCTATAAAACATTCAAATATAGCGTACTTTTTATGTTTTAGGTTTAGGAACATTTGTAATTAGGTTAAATTATTAAACATATTCTATTCATTGATATAAGATGTATCAAAGAACAGTTCAATTTTTTATTCAAAAGCGAATATGATCATTTTTTCTAGAGCCAAAAGACAACTAGTTTTTTTCCTGTTAGAGTGAAATTGAAAACGAATGCATTATTATCATATTATATAAAAGAACAAGGAAAAAACGCTTTTCTGGCAATATTACTTAACGTGCTCAGCTTTTCAACATTTTATTTTCAAAAAAATTACTTGGTCAAAAAAAGGAAAATTTTTGCTATTAGGGTTTTTAAATTAATTTTACGTGCGTCAATATTTTAAGATCATTAATCTGGTGATAATGAACTTAAAAAGTAGAAAAATAGTTAATTAACTGTTAAAAGCAATAGTAGGGATAACTAGTTTAAAATTCGTTGCATTAAACGAAAGTCTAGAATTAATAGTTAATTTCAAGGGCAAATATAATTCGTAATACTTATACTTTTACTCTTATTTTATGAAAGAATCAAACAACAATTTAAATTGTACTTAAAATCTCAAGCAACTTAATGTATCACTAACCATTTTAATAATATATTGTAATTGCAAATTGTGATATAATAACCAAAAAAAAACGACCATATTATCAAAAATCATGTACAGACTATCAATTATCCAGGTGCATAGTGCACGCTACGTACTGTTTATAATGTCAGCTCATTGACTGTTGCCCCTCCACCTCCCACTATTAGGTGCCATGCCATTGAAAAAAATAAAATGTATATATCTATATATAAATAAAAACCTGCATATGGTGGTGGCCGCTCACTATCAGTAAAACTCGCATACTGATTGTATTGTAATTTCATCACTTTATCTTTATTTGTTTTTTTCCTTTAGTTATGATATGCTACAAGCTGAAGGCTCAGAAAATACCGATTGCTCGAACGTGAGTAATATTAGAACGTTAGTAGACAAAGAAGCGACGCGTTCGGAACGTTGACATAAGATTAATTATTTTTTTAAACTTCGTTTTAAGAACTTAACATTTTTGCTAGTACATTTCTTCGTTAATAATTATTTACGTGTTTAAATAATACAGAAAACATGGAGATAGCTGCGGATGGAAGTGCATTCATAAAGATGGGAGAAGATTATAAACTCCGGTTTGAAGACGAACAAGAATTAGAGGAGGTTTATCAGGAACGGGCAGAAACCGAACTGAGAGAAACTCCTGAACGAAAAGCTCAAGCTCTCAATGAACTGAGGCAATTAATAAAAGGTAACAAGAATACTTATTAAACATGTACAAATCACTAAAATTGCGAACTTCTTGTATCAAAAATGATTAACTAACATAATAAACTAAATATAATTATACATCATAGGATTTAAAAACGATCAGAATTAAAATTTATAAGTGACAAAAAATAGAATGTATCATTCCCAAAAATATAAAAGATATAAATTTTTATTCTTAAAATATAAGAAAATTTAATAGTGGAGTAAAAATACATAAACAATTATTATCATAACAATAAAGTTATAATTAAAGATCTCAAATCGATAAACATAGAAATTTTATACTATTCATAACCGAAAAGTTAAACATTAATTAACATGATATAAAATTAAACTAATTTTTAGTTAAACTCGATGTATTATTTTTTGTATAAAAGGATGCTTATGGCATTAAACACTCGATAAAAAAAAATAGTATCATATCTCACAATTTCCAGTTTTTTTTATAAAATAAAATAATAATTTGTTATTTATTATATTTATAATTTATTTTAGATTATAAAATAGGTACTTTTTAGATTATTTATCTTGAAAATGTTGAATAGTAGATTCATTATCCTTTGAATATCGATATTTAAGCTTTCTAAGTAATTTTATGAATTAAAATATTGATATCATTAACTGAATTAATTTTGTATTTAACACAAATCCAAGTCCAATTTAAAATAGAAATGCAATTAATTAAACGCAATTTTTAAAAATTAAATTATTCATTCATTAATCTTCCTATTATTTTTATTATAATGAATTTAAAAAATATTTCCTGCAGTGTCAATAACCTTACCATTTGTTTAAATAGTTTTCTATTTCTGTTTATTACAGATTAGTTTAAACACAAACCACTGACAATACTATTATGAATTAATAATATACTCCTGTATTTTTCCAGTAAAATATTATGATATCAAATTTTAAGATGGTAATTAGAATTACTTCCGTACTTTCATAAATTATTAAAATATGAGCTTTAATATATATTTTGTGAGAAATTTAACCCAGAGAATCTTTATAGATAATTAAAATACTTTTCCCATACATACCATTTAATGTATCCTACAAAACATGAACATTTAATTTATTTTGAAAGTTTAAAGGAAGTTGTAAAATGTTTGTTAGTATTTTTAAAATAAGCTATTAATAACTTCATTAACATTTATAAGTATACAATAAATTACCAGTTGTTATTAGTTCATCGTGAATTATGTTCATAATGTCACTAGCTATATTTCTAAACGCTTATATTTTAATAAACTTAAGACCATAAAAAATTATGAAACTCCATGTCTGCCAATAAATACAGATATTAATGGCGAATGTAACAATAGATCTAGGAAAGTTTGATTATAAAATTAATTTTAAAGAATACCTATAAACATTTGCTTAATATTGTAAAATTATTATTTAATGTTCATCATAGTATGAATACATTAAATATTTTAACTAGATTTTATTCTTTTAAAATTTTAAAAGGATCAAATATAAACAACGCCAAATAGTTTTTATAAAGTACAAGTAGAAGAGAAGTTAAATATGCAAAATTTTTCTATGCGAAAAATGTATTTATTTTTATTTTTAATTACATGGAACCCTTTCAGTTATTAAGTAATTATATTATCACATGGACCCGATTAAAATTAATAAGTCCAATTTTTCCGAGTTGGTCTGAAGGATTTCAGGTACCAGTTACAGAACTTGGCGTGTATGTAACATCATTTTAATTTTGTTTTTATAATTAAATTACACCCAGCTTAAAGCGTTAGTGGGTTATGTCGGATAAACGTTTACATTATAAACTCTTTTGGTATATGGGAAAATCTTTTTAACACGGGATTGTAAAAAGCAGTAAACGACCTGTAACAACTATCTTTTTTATTAGCGTTTAATTATCACTGAAACATAACTGGAATTGGTATATCGATTTTAATACAAAACAATTTATGTATTCTAATGAAAATTGACGGTTTTATTTGAGTTCAAAAAACAACCAAGCGATCAGTTATTATTTTATATCTCCAAATACATAAAATTAATATTATAAATTATTTTCTAATACTTGTTTTATGGTTATGGACATTAATATATCTAACGACTTTCAACTATGAACATTTGATTAATTTTTTTTTTATCTATACTTAAGCATATCACAATAGCATCACAAAGTATTTTGTCTTATAATTATAAAATTTGAACGCCATTTTTTTTTTAATACATAAATATTTGCTTATAAATATTATAAGTTTTAATAACAAAGTCGTTACATTGTTCCAATAATGAGTTTCACTAACAAATTTCAATTTCCATAACATTATATACATTAAAAAACTTAAAATTAAATTATTTCAAAACAATCCTTCTTTAATTTAAATCAATGATTTAATATATTGAATATTATTCAATTCTCATAGGTATAAAATACTAAAAATATAATTTTAAGTATTTTATAAAACTAACGTCTAAAGTTTGGCAATAAACCAAGTTACCTTTAAGCCTAAAAAAATACTAAAAATCAATAGTCATTTAAAATTAAAGATTTATTGATTGAAAAGTTACAAAGAAAAGTTATATTTTATATGAAAATTAAAAATTTTTACAATAATAATAATTTTTTTATAATAATTATTAATTGTTATTGCTCGTATCTTAATTTAATAATACTAACATAATTTAGTAATAATACATTTTTTCAAAATTTCAAAAAGTAAACATAATGGGCAGAATATTAACATTTAATGTTATTATTTTGACTCTGCCAAGGAAAAATAGTAAAATTGTGGGATGCATTTTATAAGAGTTTGTTATAGCGATAGCTTTAGTTAATACAATTTTTGTTTCGCTTCTTTCATAATAATATAAACACGTGTTTAAATTGGAAATTTTATCGTATTACGTTTTTCCTATAAAATAACAGCTTAATTAATTTGCTAATCACCGAAACAATAAATGAACTCGACATTTTTCTGAGAAATGCTTTACCTAAAGTTTACAAACTAAGTTCATACATAACTTATACAAAGTGTTTGAATATCAACTTAGTCTAAAAAACCAACAGTCTTTGTACGTAATTATGGTATTTAATTCATACACTAAATAATGCAATGACGAACTTGTACTTGTTCATGAAACTCATTAAAAGTCCAAAGATAGTTCTAAATTAAATTTTAATGTCGAATATTGTAATTTTTTTAGTATCCTTATAAATCTTTGTATGATCTATGCAGATAATTCTTTGAAAATATTTAAAAATAAATCTTTATTTACAACTATTGGAAACAGTATGTTTTATTTTAAGCAAAATTTATAAATTTGATGTACGCAGAAAAAACGTGTATGATTTTTCCGGAATAAGTGTTATGTAAACAGAATTTAAAACGTGTGTCTTACCGTGTTCATTTATACAAGGATATTAATGTTTAAAATAAGTCATTAGTATCTAAGTATAAACTCATAATAGGAGTAACGCTAATTGTTGGAACGTTATAAAGCTTTGTTTGTATGCCCGAGGTACGTTTCAGTATATCGTAATTATTAACTTATTAAACAAACATTGTAGATTGAATCTTTATAAAAAATGATAATCTTGTGAATCTTTAAAAAAGTTATTTAATTTGCCCTATACATTTGTAATCCGAAAGTCGCCTAAAGTTTAATGCTAATTACAGAAATCAATATATTTTATAGCATTAGTGCGCTCTACTACAATAATTGTATTTTCAAAAATGATAGTCGTATATAATAAAGTTGTATTTCCTCTAAATAAATTCTCCAATACACGTGCAAAACGACAACTTGTACTGAAAATGTAATGCTAAAATTAAAAAATTTTGAAAAATGTCAAAGGGAGTAATTGGGATTCCTGATTCGTTTATCAGAATTTTTAAATAATTTCATAATTTCTTAGTATGTATGAAATTTACGTAAATTACTACAACTGCTTAGAGGCCAAAAATGTGAAGAAATCGTTAAATACTACAGTTTTTTGTATACGCAAAATATTAAATGATCATTATACCAAGAATACGTAACAGAATTCATATTGTAAAAATATTTAAAATACAATATAATATTTTTCCTGAAGAGATAACAAAAATGTACAATTTTCATATATAACTTACAAAACCAAATTTTATACAATTTTTTTTTTTTTTTTAAGTACATTACAGTTTATCAATTTGAAAGTAAATTTCGAAAATAGAGTATAGAAACATCGTAATACATTTATATCAGTTGTACTTTAGGTAGTGAAGACTCGTATTTTCACTTCGCAATGACTAATCCGAAATAGCAGTGTGTCGCATATATGAGACTATTCGGATTCGTGATATGCGGGTCAAGGCGGCCCACTATTTGCAATAGAATATCAATAGGAACAAACACATCGATATCACAGACTGCAATAAATACTTATATACAGTTATACTGAGCACCGATGTGTAATAATGAAGTGAATATAATTGACAGCCATAATGCATCATGTAGACCATCAAAACCAATACAGACATCTTTTAAGTAGCTTTAATCATTACCGTCTTCAACCATTTCAGATATTTTTTAACAGTAATCCCAGTTATTTAAATCAAATTTTGTGTACCAAGGTATTTAACTTCTTATGTACTAAATCACAAAATTTAGTTCTTAGAATTTGATATAAAATATTAAATACTAAGCTCAAAAGGTTTGAAAAAATGTGTAGGTGATTTCACAAAATCACGTTTAACATTGTCTAATAAAATTTGAAATATAAAACAAAATTTTTTATTTTTCCCGCCCAAGTCTTACTACCCAAAACTTACAAATGTATGAAAACATTTTTGAAATCTAAAAAAATAGTTTCTTTAAAATACTTGGATTATTAGTACTATAATAAGTCTGTTATTTAAAAATATTTTTTTCTATTAATAATTTAAATTAAATTTTTATTAAAATTGTAAATAAATGTATTCAATTATTTAATTTGTAATTAATATTTTAACATTAATAGCT